CCTGGCTCCTGGGTTTGTAGGGACACTGTCTGCTCTGTGGTACAGAGTCCTGATCACTCCTAACTTGTGTTCGAGTGAGTGATGGGAATCAAAACGCAAATACTGGTCTGTATGGGTGGGTTTGCGATACACGTCAGTTTCCAACCGTCCTCCATCTGAAACTGAGACATCACAGTGCAGGACCGCCAACCTGCCATCTTTTACATCCTCTCGTGTGAACTTAATATATTCATCCACAGAGTTGATGTGATCAGTGAAATGTTGGACTTCCTGGGATTTAATTTTAACCCAGGTGTCGTCAACATATCTGAACCAATGGCTCGGTGGTCTCTTGGAGGAGAGACGAAACGTTTCACTAAAGAAGAACCCATCTAGAGGACCTATTTATTTTTTCTTTTTGATTCCTAAAATTTTTTTTCTTTCTTTTTGAGACACACAACATATTTGTATTTATTGTACTTCATCGTCTGTACACAAACTGGACAGTATAACTTCATTGATAAAAAAAAACTCTACCAACCATCAATTGCAGCAAGGCCACCGGGTAAAACCCTTTTGACGTAAACTCCAAACTCTTCTCCAGTTTGCTCTTTCATTCCACCAATTACTTTAATACCTGTTAGAGAAAAAAAATTAAATGTCACATAAGCACAGAATATTGAGACATTTTAATTATTATTGCTGTCGGACTTAAAGAAATTATGTTTGTACTGAAAGCTAAATGTAGTAATTATTAACCCAGATACACATCATTAATTACCAGATTTATTTAACTTTTCCCATGCACTAACTGTGGCTTTATGTTATTCCCATTATTTACTCAATAATAACCTTTCTAATCTTTATAGATGTAGTTTTAACCAGTGCACAATAAACACATTATAATAACCAAGCACAGATGGAATTTTGAATATTGTAAATTCAGGGAAGTTAGGGGACCTTAGTGTAGTGTGGGGGTCCCACAGCTGCCCGCTGACAGAAAAATTAAGGAGAAAAGGGGATGCTGCTCTGAGCAGGCTGTGCACAGCAGGGCAGGATTTATCAAGTAAAAAAAAATAATAACCATATTGCTCTTTAAAACCTGTAAAAGTTATTCAAACAATGTGAATTGTAAACAGTCCATTTGGCTGTTTGTCAAAAAGATTAATAAAATGCGTATGCTGCCGGGTCAGGAAGGATTTTAGGTAACGCTTTCTTTTACGGTACCCTTATTACCATGCAATTACAAGGTTATTAAAAAATGGTAATTAAATGTAATTACTACATTATTACCATGTAATTATGTAGTAATTAGGGTACAAAAGAAAAACTACTGTTAGTAAAACTACCTTTATTGGGTAACTACAATCAAATTACTATTCAATAGTAACTCAACACTATATTTATAACCAAAAGAATGCAACTAAATTTTGGGGTTAGTGGTTAATTGCAATAAAATATAACTTTAACACTGTCCTAATTACCTACTACTTATTTAGGTGTTACGTAGTGAATCGTAATACTTACCTGTTAAGTGCTACATTATTGCAGACAATTAATTACATAGTAAAATTGTGCACTAATTACCACGTAATTACATGGTAATAAGGTAGTAATTAATTTTAATTAACTTTTAATACCTTGGAATTACATGGTAATAAGGGTACTGTAAAAGAAAGCGTTACCGGATTTTAGATTAAGATCAGTAAATTCCATCTAGAGTTTCAAAGCATATTTTGTTAACAGAAACAGAAATGACTGACCAGTGTCTAACACGTTAAATGCRCTAAGTAATAAATGGGCCTACATTCCCACAGAAACACACCAACATTTTATGGAACGCCTTCAGTGTTTCTGACATTCACACATGGACACTTCAGCCTTCTCTCTGTGAGATGTGGTGCAAGAAGGGAACACACAACCACTGGTTCTTGAAGAAAATAGGAGCCTTTAGAGACGAGGCAAAGAGGCTGTCATCCAGAAATAAAATCATATTAAACATAAACAGTAAGTTTATAAAAGTACAATATCTAAAGTATACTTATAATTGCATCCGCATGAAAATGTGAAGGCCAGAACAGTCAGCCTAACCAGAAAACAAGCTAATATTAGCTTAATATCAGAAAACAAAGTAAAAAGCCTCTCAGATTGTATTAGTGTTTCATTATAAATACCTTGGTTTTATTATTAAATAATCTTTTACCTTGTTTCCCATTATCAACAACTGGTAAATAAAAATTAAGATTAAGGTGGTTTATATATCTTCTTACATTACTTTAACRTTTATACTTTAAGTCGTTTTAAAACCTGCATTTTTACTCTTTTAATTGAGCAAAATCTTGAATTGACACTTCTACTTCCAAAAAAGTATTTTTATACCTTAGTATCTATAATTCTACTTAGGTAATGAAAGTGAATACGTTTGACATCTCTGCTTATTAATTTGGCAGTCTTCTCATAAAAACACATCAACAGATAAACAACACGTTTCTCTGCTCATATGAAACAAATACAGTATGARGAACTTCTTTAAAATATTGGAAAATTTTTGTTTGTGTTTTTGTTGAAATATGTGAAAATCTTTAAAAGAATATATTAAACTGTTGAAATAATAAGATAATAATACACAATTTAGTTGGGAAAATGTGGTTACATCATTACAAACAAAATTATAAAGCTAAAACTAGAAAAAATAAATAAATTTGAGGAAAAATACAATTACATCAAGTAGTTTAGAGAAGTGGTTCCCAAACTTTTTATCTTCTGACCCACAAAATATCCATGGCAAAAACTTGTGACCCCAAATATTACTGGTCTGAGTACATGAACTTCATTAATAACCCTAAAAACACAGGCTTTTTGACAATCTAAACAGCTTGTACACAAATATAAATACTTCTTTATACTTGTTTTGTTTTTGTAATAATTATAGGGAAAATATTACATCAGCAATTATTTTATTACCCTTTAAATTGATTTCTGGAGATTATCCAAGGTGCTTCATGACCCATAATTGGGTCCCAAGCCCAACTTTGGGAACCAAAGTGCAGTGGTTCCCAAACTTTTCAGCTTTTGACCCACAGAATAAAAGTAGCAGAGACCTGTGCCCCCAACTGTTTTTGGATGATAAACATTTGTATCAGGTCAACAAAACATGGGCATAGTAACAATATTTTTATACTACATTTATCCATTTTAAATACACTAACCTCACTCCTTTGTAACAACTAAGGAAAAAATGTAATTAATTCAGAAAATCTTTTCAGGACCCCATCTTGATGTTTCGGGACCCCACTTTGGGTCCCGACCCCAACTTTGGGAAACACTGGTTTAGAGCTCTTTAGTGCATATTTAAACCAGAAACTGTTTCTTCCCATCGAGAGCTCATGATGGTCATCTTTCCAAAGGAGGTTAAATATTTCTCCTATAATTGTAAAAAATTATAGGGATGCACCGATATGAAAATTTCAGCCGATATCGATATCCAATATAATTATTGCTGTTATGGCCGATAACCGATATTTACCGATATTACACAAATTTACAAATTATATTATACAAATACACACAAACACACTTGGGTCTTTTTTTTTTTTGATACAGTAAATAAACAACCAGACCTCTGACATGGCTCTACTTCAGTTATTCCTGGCTGTACAGCGTCAATATCACTATCATGATCAAACAAATGCTGCTCAACCAACCGTCTCACCTCCCAAAACAGAAACTAAAGCTAAAAAGTGGGAAATCAATATCAGCCCAGTTTTACATATTGGGCCGATACGATATTCTAAAAAATGACCAATGTCGGCCGATACCGATATCAATACCGATATATCGTGCATCCCTAAAAAATAATATAGAAAAGAAAACAACCTTTAGTAAAAAAATATTCAGGCTGTATAGCTACATTAGGAGCATTTTAAATTTTAAAAATGAGACAAACAGACCAGACTGAATTAAGACATAACTTAATAAACTATTTTAGAAACAAAATGATTTAATATCCAGTGTAGGAGAAACAGCCAAATTGTGATTTAAAATTCTCTGCTCACATGCTCCATCACTGCACTTACAGGGGATACAGTAATTGTACCCTGAGATCAGAGTATATTCAGCCTGCCAACATGGCGACRGAGACACTGCTTGGGTCTGGAGTGAAAAGTTCAAGCTAATTACTGCCTGTAGGATGAAAAGGAGTAAATCAGGTCCAATTCTCTGCCCTCAGTGCCTTTGTTCTCTTCTTTGAACAGAGATTTTGCTCTTATAGTCAGTCTTGAAGCAGAACCATGTCCCACCCCCTCTCACTGCCACAATCACATCCTGCACATCAGAAGATAAGGAAATATTTCACTGCATGAACAGCTACTGTAGAGCAGACACAAAAAAAGAAATGCCTCTTATGTTTAAATCACGTGTTTTCAAATCTGCATTAACATTTCCTGTTAATAATGCATTAGGTGAACGACTACATTTTTCAAATTTGGTCTTTGGGAAGACCTAAAATGGTGAGTGTTGCTGAGAGAAGGATGTCAGGGACTATTTTATAATCAAGCTACAAATAATGGGTGGATAGAAGAGGTAAAGTTTGATGTTTCTAATAAATCCTCTTAAAACACCATGTGAGATTAAAGAGTAAGTTATTTTCAAGATTTGACCAGAATAGCTACAATGCATTCATTTCCCAAAACAAGATGATTGGAAGCATGATGCTACAATGTGCTACAAGGAATGTTAGGCCTTTAATTTTAGTACGCATTTCCACCTTTGCGTATGAAGCACATGTGACAAAGCCGGATACGTTTAACACAATGACTTACTGCTTTCATGCAGTCATTGTGCAAACTCCATCAGCATGGGGATGCGAAGGTGAAGTAAGGATAAAAACAACAGCAGCTCTTGCATTCTTATCCCAGCTGAGATTAAATGGGTTAGGGCTTTGCCATATGACCCACTTCCCCTCCCAGCAAACACACTAATGTTGGCAGAGGTAAGTTCTTCACAGAGAAAATTCCTTTTAAAGTGAGTCTTCTTGTATTACAGAGATAATGTACAGATGAATCAGCAGATGAGGTCAGTGATGTTAGTTTAAGATGGATGAAATAAACAAAAACTTTATGTATTACTGTTTTGGCGCTGATGACTGTTCAGCGTTGCAGACAAATACATGTAAAAACTATGCTGTGTCTCATCACCTTTTTGTGATGTCACTCTACTTAACTCTAACATGCAGCATAGAAATGAATACATTAAAATGAAAGCTTTGCAGATGCATCAGCACTGTTGTTGTAAAAATAAACTTGTTGCTTTAGCCAAATAGTTTTTCCTAAAGTCAGAATGGTAACACATTAAAATCGGGTACACAAAAATTGCTACTACTACTAAGTATAAGTACACCAAAGAAGAACTACTTAGGAACTAGTTCATCATTACTTAATTAGTAACTGAACATTAATGACTGTTTTTGTGTACCCTAAAGTAAAGTGAAGTATCATACCAAGTACTTACTGAGGACCAGCTGTGTGTGACCAGCTGAAGATGTACCGGTATCTCTGCTACTTTCATTTTGTCTTGTAGTGAGGAGCAGGGGGAGGGATAGCAGACGACACACAGCGCTTGAGCAAGGGACCAGTGATG